GAATTTCGACACCCTTACCCCATTAATCCAGCCCGAGCTACCACTGCTGGAAAACTTGAAATTTGAAGTATCTACCATAGAAAAAACCCCGAAGAATATTAGATTTAAGATGTGAATAGATCGCTGTCAGCCAACATTCACCCCGCGCGCTTTACAACGATTATTCATAAAAAAATAATACTTCATTATCCTCAAATGGTGCATACGTGCAAACGACTCGATATAACAATCTATCTAGGTTAGATATGAACCAATTGCTATTTGCGTCTGGACAGCTACCCTATCGACCCTTGACTAAAACTATATCTATTTTCTTTAAAGGTATTATGTGTGATAGATTACGATTAATCTCAGTTACAAAAATTCAAAGACTTCAGTGCATTCGAATCCGAGCTGCTCGTGTTGTTCTTCGAGCTATGAGACACGATCACGTATCACCCCTACTTAGATAACTTTATTGGCTACCGGTCGAAAAAAAGAATAATGTACAAAACTGCACTGTTTGTTTATAAGTGTACACATAATGTTCCCGCTGAATATTTGTCCTCCTTGTAACAATCGTCCATATAATCTCCGCTCAACTACAGACACAACGGCTCTCTATGTGCCTAGAATAAATTCGACAGTGGTCGGGTTACATGGAATAGGTTACAATGTGAATAACGCTGCATTATGCCAGTTGAATTATTTAAGAAGCATCTTAATAAAACACACGTACATTGTAATTAACTGCATTACATTTTCTATCATATTTTTTGTTGAGTTTTGATCAGTGGATTATTCGTTTTGTAAAGCGCTTTGATTAGTTCTAAATTGGATATATCGCTATAAAAGAAAAAGTATCATTATTATTATTGTTATTATTAATCATCGTATCTTGAGAAACATATGTGATTTTAAGTCTTATCATTTTGCAAAACACCCTTCTAACTGTCAGCAGTATGCGTTAAAATATCGACTAATTATTGTATCCGGACCGTTTTCTGAATCTTATCAATACTTACACACAAGGTAGAATGCACCAGAGATAGTGGTGGCTTGTTGATATCTTTCTGTTTTTGTGTGTGTATATGTATGGTGGCCCTGAAGGGACATCGCGAATAGACTAAATCGTGAAAAATATGCGATAAAATTCACGATATCGTCAATTTTATCGCATATTTTTCACGAAGAAATTCACGAAATTGACGATATCGTGAACTTTTCACGATGAAATTGACGATATCGTGAATTTTATCGTGAAAAGTTCACGATATAAAGTTCACGATATCGTCAATTTTATCGTGTACACTATCGTGTACTCTCCTGACGGGCGCTTCGTAAACAAAACCAGCCCTAGCTGGGGGAGACAGAGAGAAGGAAAAAAGGGAAAGTGAAAGAGAAGATAAAAGGAAAGAAAGAATAATAAGAAGAAAAGAGGGAAACGGGGGGGGCGAAGGGCTCTTGCCTCCTCCTCACTCCCCTCCCCCCTCCCCGCCAAAAAATAAATCAGAGAGAGAGAGAGAAGGGAAAGGGAAAGGGAAAGAGAAGATAAAAGGAAAGAAAGAAGAGGAAGAAGAAGAAAAGAGGAAAACGGGGGAAGGGCGAAGGACTCTTGCCCCCCCCCCCCTCCCCCCTCCCGCCAAAAAATAAATCAGAGAGAGAGAGAGAGAAGGGAAAGGGAAAGGGAAAGAGAAGATAAAAGGAAAGAAAGAAGAGGAAGAAGAAGAAAAGAGGGAAACGGGGGCAAAGGGCTTTTGCCTCGTCCCCCCGCCCCCCGCCAAAAAATAAATAAGAGAGAGAGAGAGAGAAGGAAAGGGAAAGAGAAGAAAGAAAGAGAAAAAACGAAAAAGAGGGAGAATAGGAAAGAAAGGAAAAGAAAGAAAAGAAAGGAGGCAAGAGCCCTTCGCTCCTGTTTCCCTCTTTTCTTATTCTTTTTCCTCTTCTTTCTTTCCTTTTATATTTTCTTTCCCTCTCCCTTCTCTTTCCCTTTATGTCGGGAGGGGGGAGGGGGAGGTAAGAGCCTTTCGCCCTTCCCCCGTTTCCCTCTTTCCGTCTTCTTCTTCTTTCTTTCCTTTTATATTTTCTTTCCCTTTCCCTTTCCCTTCTCTCTATCTCTCTCTCTCTCTCTCCTATTTATTTGTTGGCGCGGGAGGGGGGAGGAGGCAGAGCCCCACTTTTCTTCTTATTCTTCTTCCTTTCCTTTTTTATTCTCTTTCCCTTTCCCTTCTCTCTCTCTCTCTCTCTCTCTTATTTATTTTTTGGGCGGGGGGATGCAAGAGCCCTTCGCCCCCGTTTCCCTCTTTTCTTCTTCTTCTTCCTCTTCTTTCTTTCCTTTTATCTTCTCTTTCCCTTTCCCTTTCCCTTCTCTCTCTATCTCTTATTTATTTTTTTGGCGGGGGGTGGGGAGGGAGGAGGCAAGAGCCCTTCGCCCTTCCCCCGTTTCCCTCTTTCCTTCTTATTCCTCTTCTTTCTTTCCTTTTATATTTTCTTTCCCTTTCCCTTCTCTCTCTTATTTATTTTTGGCGGGGGGGGGAGGAGGCAAGAGCCCTTCGCCCTTCCCCTGTTTCCCTCTTATTCCTCTTCTTTCTTTCCCTTTCCCTTCTCTCTCTCTCTCTCTCTCTCTTATTTATTTTTTTGGCGGGGGGGGGGGAGGTAAGAGCCTTTCGCCCTTCCCCCGTTTCCCTCTTTCCTTCTTCCTCTTCTTTCTTTCCTTTTATATTTTCTTTCCCTTTCCCTTTCCCTTCTCTCTCTCCTTATTTATTTTTTGGTGGGGGGGGGGAGAGTGAGGAGGAGGCAAGAGCCCTTCGCCCCCCCCCCCCCGTTTCCCTCTTTTCTTCTTATTATTCTTTCTTTCCTTTTATCTTCTCTTTCCCTTTCCCTTTTTTCCTTCTCTCTGTCTCCCCCAGCTAGGGCTGGTTTTGTTTACGAGGCGCCCGTCAGGAGAGTACACGATAGAGTACACGATAGAGTACACGATAAAATTGACGATATCGTGAACTTTATATCGTGAACTTTTCACGATAAAATTCACGATATCGTCAATTTCATGGTGAAAAGTTCACGATAAAGTTCACGATATCGTCAATTTCGTGAATTTCTTCGTGAAAAATATGCGATAAAATTGACGATATCGTGAATTTTATCGCATATTTTTCACGATTTAGTCTATTCGCGATGTCCCTTCAGGGCCACCATATATATGTATGTTGTTGTCAGCAAGAAACTCTCCCTAATGCCTTAAACATTATAGGATGAATACAAATATTTTACAATGCTGAGAACGTTATTCTAATGAAAGGGGAAAAGAGGGATCTGACACATTGATGGAAGGTGTGAAGGCTACGAGCCCGTAAATCCCATGCATGGACCCGCATTCCTTTAATTACTTGCTCGTTTTCTACCTTATTACTACATATTTCCATTCTCATTTATCATTTATGCAACACCACTGCTGCTTTCCACGAACGTGGTAAGTGGGGGCGGGGTCTGCAAGTACAGCGCGTCTCAAAAATGCATATTTCTGGAGTTTCAAAGCCAATTGAGATTAATGAACTAAAAAGCGGAATATATTGTTCTTTTAACACGGCATTGTACATACCAAATATATACATGAACATTATAAATTTAACTTGAATGCGATTTTAATTTCAGAATAAAATATTTTACCTATAACATAATATCTTCACTTCGACATGACCACAAAAACATTTATTTTTGACTTAAATTTTGGAAAATATTATGAATGAGAGTCCATTATACATACAGAGACTATTACACGATCATCTGATGATGAAATTGCAGAGGATGCATAAATATTGAGACAGTAAAGAATGGAAACATCATCCAAATTCTTTGGTGTGCCCTGACACGCTTTAGCGTGTACCTATCTGCGCAAAAATTTGTTAAATTTCTGGGAAATCTAAATTCCGCACTTTAGTCGGTGCAACGACTACGAATAAGTGGGGAAAACCTCCTACCCCATCAGATTTGAAAAGGTTAAAATGAACTTGAGAGCAAGAGAAAGGAAAATTTAGACACAATGAAATATTTAAATATGTATATATATATATATATATGCTCTCAAATGTGATTTGAAAGGTTGATTATTGAAATCTTCCTACAACCATCCTACTTATAAATCCTGCCCCCAAACGCCGTTCGATCAACGTTACGCTACAGTTTTGGCACATGCGTCCCGAGGGGCGATGATTGTCCTAGGTGGTAATTATCCTGTGGCTGATTGTCCTAAGGAGATAATTTCCTAGGGTGATTGTCCAGGGGGTAATTGTCCTAGGGGTAAGTGTCCAGGGGGTAAGTGTCCAATGGGTGATTTCCATGGGGGTAGTTGTTACAGGGGGTAATTGTCCAAGAGGTAATTGCCTTCGCAGGTGGTGGTCCTTGGACTTAATTAGTTTGGTAATCTTCCGGTGGATAATTGTCCGGGGGTAATTGTCCCGCTGGAAATTTCCCCGGGGGTGATTGTCTAGGGGGTAATCGTCCTAGAACCGTCGTATTCATACACGAACCGGGATGTTGGCGATGTTGCATAACACGTACACAAAGACAGCAGAAGAAGAAGGTACATAAATATTTGCTAGGCAAATACAAGTCAATTTTTAGTATACATTACCGGCCACATCTGAGATTTTAGCGCATTTGTTAATTGTATTAGGTTAATATCCCAACTATAGCTAAATAGGTCAGACTAGAAAATGAAGTTGAAGTGATTATGTAATGTCACTGTGGGATATTTATGTTCCTAAATTTACAATACTTGGTAACGCAAGGACCACGAAATGCCTTAATGCCGTGAACTTGCCTTTTAACATGTCTCAAAAGTTACTGTACAGTGGGTCTATTATGGCTTCAGATCATCAGATCATGTTTAACAATTAACCGCAAAGTACTTCCTACTTTAAATCTGAAACCCATGTATCGTTTATGTGAGTAATGACCATGTTTCGATTTTCAGCAGATTAATAAATGAAATGAAAAATAAATTAGGGTATTTTGTTCACCTTTGTCGGATCCTCTCTCAACTTCTGATCGAAGGCACTTATCGCCACTGTGTAAATGATAGCCGTGACGTCATCAAAACAGTGTATCCATTTTCGCCTCTCTGTCCGTTGACCACCTATATCAACAACTCTAGTGAAGAAAATCGTGCAAAAATATGATCTAAATTATTAAAGACTATTATAAGGCCTAATTTAGATCTCATTTTTGTTTTACATTCCACTATACTGTAGTTAAGGATAACATTTCACCTCTACAAAACTGTTGGTCATATCTCAATTTGGAGGTTATCTTCAATAAATGTCACTGCTACTCCACCATTGATTATCCATTGTGACATTTTGTTCGAAAATAAATAATTGTGAACACATATATAAAAATATTAAAATATATATAATTTTTCCCCTAAACGGCGGATTTTTTAACTTTGGTTTTCTTCTGTCTTTAGAATGCCTGCTTATGAATGCCCGTTATATCACGTTAAGTGCAAACCATAGGTCTATGAGACTATCGAAGTATGAACAGGCTTACAACCATCCCGTCAGCGGTAGCGCAAGGCCATTTCAAATGAGTGTTCTGCAGATTTTTACCGGCAACATCACCTGCTCATATCAAGTGTTGCTTGCAGGCATATTTAAATGAAATGCTCCAATTTAGCAGCATTGTCCATACATTTGATTCCCTCATTTCATGATATTGAAAATGATAAACGGTAACATTGGAGCGCTACAAGCACCTTGCGTGATGGATGTGAACGTTAATATATATTTTGCATGTGCACAACTTAGCCTAGATACTTACACAAATCTTCGTTTTCTGAATTTGAATTCCGTAGGTATTATTCCAGTGGACTTGAGTCTAGCTCTGATGATATCATCATCACACGGTATGTAGTTATCACCTGAGAGAGCAGATAATCTCCCGAAGAAACTGAAATAAAAAAAATAAAAAAATAAAAACAAAAGAAAGAAATTGGCACAAACAAACCATTTGAAAGTCTTGTTTTAATATTCTGCAACGGTTTCAAGGTTTCTTCATTTTGTCCACATACTATAACATAATCAAATGAATATGGAATATAAACAAATTCAATCTCATAATATTAACCAAAGATATGAGAAATGATTATACAATTATTCAAATAAATCATTTAAGATTGGCACAGTGGTGAAACATAGTGGAGAAGTCTACTAAAAACCCGAAGGTTTTATTTTTTGTTAATGATGAACTTAATATTTGCTGATATCGGCTTGCATGGTGATGTAGATATACAGTAGGCTTGCGGTAGCACCCTATAAGAGATGGGGGGCGTGGGGAGTAGGAAAAAGGACCCTCGGTGATCTTTCTTTCTTGAGTGTGTGTAGTCCTGAAAAGGACTGTGGGTGTAGTCTTGAAAAAGACCGTTGGTTATCTTTCTTAGCTTATAGTTCTAAGGAGAACTATAGCACTTGTTGGAGAAGATTGGTGGACAGGTAGGAGCAGGCACGTAGCCAGAGTTCGATGTTTGGGGGGGCACATTTACATGTAATCGATCGAGGTAAAAAAGGGGTCTAAAAAAGTTCAACCGATCTTGAAAAATTTAGTGGGGCACGTGCCCCCGTGCCCCCCCCCCCCCCCCCCCCCCGTGGCTACGTGCCTGGGTAGGAGTGGCTCGATGTTTCGAACAGGTTTACTATCCATCGTCAGGGGTGATACTCAACCTGTTCGAAACGTCGAGCCACTTCACAGTGGAGAGTGACGCGCGCCTCAATAAGATGACGCGAAAAACGAGGAAGAAGATTCATCCCACCGTTTTTTTTTTAATTTGGTCACGAATTACGACGCACATTATAATATCCGTCGTAATTCGTGAACTAATATAAACTGTTTGATTTAAAGCAAGACTTTTCTCTTCTTGATCAATATGTTATTTTTTTTTTTTTTGTTGGTTCTGAAACTCCGTAGGGCCTATAGGCCCTACTTTGAAAAATATATCTCACAAGATTAAAAGAAAATCATATACTGCTGCTATCAAGCATGATGCCTTCGAATCTCATAGACATTACAATTTCAGCATTAATGGCGGCCATATTGTATTCTTTATACAATCAGTAATTGTGACACTGCCTTAGATTACTGGCATCAGGACTTATTGCCCTCACATGCTTCACCAGCGCACGTATCAATGCGAAAGAAATGACACACCGTGTACAACGGGCATAATGTGCATCGGATATAATAAGTTGGTGACGTACTAGCCTGCGTTGTCGAGGAGTTGGAACTCATTGCTGCGTTTGTAGCATTCCTGGATGCCATGGTCATTCCATATCCTGTCAATGACTTGGACCAATTCTGGGGTGAATTCATGGTCACGTGTTCCTGTCATGTTCATGTACGAGTAGAGATATGCTGCGTCATTCTGTGAGATTAAAATAGGGAAAAAATATTGGAAAGAAAAAATGAAGACATGGGCAATGTTTCATAAAAACTTCTTTTCAGTAATAAATGCTGACATTCTAAGACAAATTTGTTCTCAGCCAAATCTGCATACAGATCACCTCTTGATTTCGTCAGAATCTTTATTCTTTATTTTTAAATATATTTATTTTTTCTGTATCTTTTTTGTGGTCAGTTTACCTATCGGCTCATCACGTTTGAAGCTCTTACACCTATGGGTTCTTGTAATATCGCGATGAAGCTAATCATGTGATTTCATAATTTGACCTCTATGACCCATGAACCTTGAACTACATACCCCCAAATCTGATCAAATCGTCTTCGTATTGTGGTACATTCTGTCACCTGGTTTGAAGTTAATACCTTAAGTGAATCGACAATTTACCTCTATTTTCGGATTGCTGAAACTGATGCCAAGTTTGGTCATAGCACCGAGGAGTGCTAACGTAGATTCGGTCACGTTACAATGAATGATGAGCCTGAACACTAGACGTTCTTCCTCACTGAATCCATTCAAATGTATTAATCTAGTAACGGAAAGAGGCGATTGAATTGACGTTATATAAGTTATAAGATATATACTTACGTTATGTAATCTAAGAACATATGGTGAGTCTAAAACCTTCCCCTCACCGAATCCCTCTAAATGTTTCTATCTGGTAAGAAAGGAATCAAATGAATTTAAAATGCATCAAGGTATATGTTTATTATATATGTATATATAATGCTAGGTAATGACGCTCCCCATGACCTTCCTTTTCACTTTATCCATACAAATATAGCAATCTGTAAATAAAGGAGGCATCCGAATTATTATTTCAATTATATATCAAATATGTGACATTTGATCATATGATGAGCATTGGAACTTAGCGTTCGTCCGCACTGAATCGTTCTTAAACAGGGTCACACAAAAATTCAACAAAATGACTTAAGTTTTTTCTCTTTCTGATCGTATCCTAAATGTATCAATCTGGTAAATAAAGCAGATTTAGATCGACAATTTGAAAATTAATATTCCATCTTTAGTGTTCCAAAGAATTAATACAAGTCGTAAATGTTGCTAAGCAAATTTCAGTTTGTAAAATATGTAAATTCCGTTTATTTATTTCAGGTAATTATGTATACTTATGCTTTACCATTACAGGAATACTGATTTTCGAATATATCTGAAAATACGTGTATTACCTCAACATCATACTTTAAAGTTAATTGTTTGTTTGTTACGGTCAGGTTTGGTTTATACTCCAAAAATTGGGCAGTCAAAAAAGCACCTATAAATATGACAAGCTTTCTTTCTTCAGAGAGATCTATCGAAATGTCGCCTACCTCTTCCCTGCAATAGAACACTGGATCTGCGACTTCTGTAAAAAGTTTGATTTGTCAAATATCAATGATCAGCCTGAGAAGCCTTGTATTTCCATATGTTTTTTCAGTTGATTTCTAATAATCTTTTAAAGCCTCACCTTAACTGCTTTGCAATTGTACTCTTGCCCGATTCACCAGCCCCTGCAGAGGAAAAAAAGAAATATATTTCGATTATCAGAATCCACTGATGATTATACAAATAATGCACAGCAGTGAGGGCATTGGTTAGAATTACCCACACAAGGTACCTTTGGAACAGTCTAACACGCCCGAGGCGATAGCCGAGGGTGTTTGGACTGTTTTGAAGGTACCGAGTCTGGGTAATTTCACTAATGCCCGAACAAAATGCTGTGTATCATTTGTTTTATAAGATTATATTTTATTTGTTATATGAAATGATGTTTGTAACCTGATCTTACTAATGACCGGTCATTATCCAAATTACGCGTTATGTAAAATAAAAGCCTGGTCACGTGTACGCTTTCATTCAATCATTTGATAAGATTCACGTTATCATCTTATAAACTTATATATTGAAGTTTAATAGAGAGGATGAAACCGTGTTATCGTAATATAAATTTCAAATTCCTCTTGACAAATGAGAAATTTAAAAAACTAACAGTAGGGATGGTATAGATCTCTATGTACCTCATTCATTTCGATACGCTGGTTAAAGTTCTCGAACCCATTATTTTTTTCAGCATAGAAACTGCAAAGAGAATTAACATTTTTGACAAAAATTAATGTATGAATCAACTTTCATATCCGGCGATGTCATTCCCAGTCTTCCTATGTTCCTTTATTTTCTAAATGATTCACGATGATTGTTAGAAAAATAATATCATATGAAAATATCTGACATTTTCCACATGGAATCTGAAAGTTTATTATGGGAATATTCAGCAATATGTGTTGTCTTTACATGTTAAGCCAGGTTATTAAATCACATGAGATGCTTCATGTTAATCCCGTGCACACGTATTCAAATATTTCCTAAGATGCCTGAAATCACATCATGTTTTTTTTTTCCTTCTCATTACTTAGAAATGCAACTCTTATTCCTCAAGACGTAATACAATGATGGAACAGTCGTAAAGCAACCGTCTGGTTCAATCTACATATCGAATAATTTACACAAACGATATTGCAACTTATTGCAAAATAATTTTTCGGATAAGCTGCAATAAATCACGCTTTCTTATATTAAATATCGACGGTTTAGAATAAGTTTAAAATGTTGATGAACGAAGAATTCTAAATCACAAATTAGCAAGTTAAAATTACGACTAAAATAACTTGCATCATGTATATGATTCGCGTTCTGTATTTATGACTTTTAACATTTCTATTATTGACAATATTATTTTGATTGTTCTTTAAGACATAGGTCTACACGCTCATATATTTGATTTGATCGATTTGATTTCTATTTATTCCATATACATACGAATACTTTATACATTTACAATCTTACAATCTCAAACCCCCATTTCCCTGCTTGGTGTGTATAGCAATACAACGTTCATTTATATGCGTGATACCAATTATGGCGATTTACAAAACGTTAAAACTATCTTATAGGTTGCATGATATTTTTTTTTAAATCATACAATAACATATACATCATCGTTTACTTCTATTTCTCATAAACAATGAACAGTGTTTTTTTTGGTGTTTTTTTAATCACTTCTACGTTAAATACATCATATCTGACACATCACCCTAAACGAAATCAGAATCACATTATGACTGACAAACACAAATACACATCTAAAGATTCCCGAGAATCCATACATATCGACGTATTTGGGGAGGTTGCACAAAATATCAGGTAATGCAAATGTATGGTAAACAAAGAAGCAATGAAATAATAGAAAATATTGCTCGTGGCTATAGCTTTCTGATTTTTCCATTTGAAACTCCGGGATTTTCAGCTTTTTCCCGGTGGCGTCTCGAAACGTGGCAACCAAAACCTTTTGCAGAAGAAATTGATACTGGATAATTCATTCTTTTTCTCTTTCTTGTTATAGTTACAATCGTGTTCCTAGCATATCAAATACATCGACCTGATTTTGACATTCGTTACTACGACAACTGAAAATCAAATGTGCATGAACTTACTCATTGTTTTGTTGTATCACTGGATTTAAATGGAATACATTTTTTCAATTTAATGATTCATCTGTCGTTATAATGCCATTAAAATATTTTGTATTATGTTTATGCCATAGTTGTCAGGTAAAGTTTATCTAGCGTTCCAGTGGCTGCATTTTATATCAGTGCCATCTGTACTTGTGAAATAGTCTTTTCTGTAACGTATCTTTGTCATTACATAATAATAATTATATCATTGAAATTGATAGCAATAATATAATAATAATAACCACAATATAACATAAATGTTCTTAAATTGTTTTAAAAATAATAAAGGACATGTAGCAACAGAATTACCCATAACAATAAAATTTACAATATACATTATGTAAACAAAACCTCAGAAGGAAAAACAAATGGGGGTTTATGGAAGTTACAAAACCAATTTTTATTAGAAAATAATACAAGAAAATGAATTATAATCTAAAAGCATCTTAACGCACTAAAATGTTTGATCACAGCCCACCCCCCCCCCCCCCTCCCCACTACAAACACACACAAACTTTAATCAGGAAATTCAGAGGTATTGAACTGACAGGTAAACTTTCACTTTCACCTTTAATGGAATGAATCGTGAAGAACGCAAACCCTCGTCTGAAATGTCTATATATAAATATCAAAATTGCATGAACTTTAGAGCAAGGCATCATCCCTCTTTTGCTCTCATTCAGTGTTTAACAAGTTAACCCTGCGTGGTACAGCAGTTTGGGGAAATTATGAAGAAAAAAGTTTGAGATGATTCAAAATAAAATGTAAGATTCATTCATTGTTTAGGTTCAAGAATGTATAAAGGTTTTAAAAGTTTTCTACAGCCGCTCTGCTTGAAGTCGGTCACAGATCGAAACAAATTATACAATAAAATATTAATTCTGATGAGGATCATTATGATGGCAATAACTTCACACACGTTATACATTTACACTACTATAATACTAGAAGTAGCCAAATCAACTATACCTTTACCCAATAATGTACGCATATTGGCTTTTTGTTGCTGATGAAACCAAATTCTGAATTCCCTACCAACGTAAAAGCAATTAAGAACTTTACAACTTCAAGGTTGAATTTAAGAGGTATACCTATCACTTATCATAGGTATAACTTGACAACTATACAATATTGATTAACTTCTTAACGACTGTAATTAGTTTTATTTATCTTATGTTATTCTTCTCTAAATATTACCAGAATTTTTTTTATTTTTTTGCCTTTTTTTTTTTAACTGCCACTATTTTATATCTTTGAATAAAGAAATAATTAATAATGACTTTTTAAATAGGACCCCATTGTAAATAAACTTTTCAGCTTTCATGGGTCATCTTTTCAAGTGATTATTACCATTTTTATTTTGTTTTCATTTAAAAATGCCTGTTTACTCTTCATATTTATGGTACTTAGCACTTGACAAATAAATCAAATCAACTCATCTTCTAAGTCATTGAGGAAGTTAAGCCTTATCTTGACAAATTTCATGAGGCGCCCACACATATCATAATCCCTATTTGTATAACTAAAAAGAAAAATAGTGTGCTACCAATAAAGTATGTGGAGCTCTCCTGCAGCGTATTCCACGGTCTGGAAAATGGTTTGTTTTTCAGGGTCCCTGAACCAATAGAGGCTTATGTGCTCTTCTCTGGGGTTTAATATTTGACATATCTCATTTCAACTCGTAATTGCTTGTCGATCCCAGAGAAACGTTTGTAGCAAACGGGAATTACTCGTTATCTTTATTGTCTTATTTAGTCTATTGTCAAGCTATGCCGTGGGGCCACATAATTTAACAGTCGGTATCATACGTTGACACCAAAGCTTTCAGTGACACTCATAACGAAGGCGTTGATTGTTTTAGAGTGTGGAGATATGGTAGATAAATTAAAAAAAATAGAAAAACACCCACGACCTAGCATGATCGTAGCACCCGTGAAATATTTATTTGTCTTTTATTTTGTTTACTTAGTATATATTTATTAATGGTCTTTGTTAATGTGTGATGTGATCCATGAAAGATATTGATCTTTAACGCGATGTTTTTTAATGCAACTTTATCTATAATAGGAGTAAAGTTAGATATTTCAGATTCACCAAAAACGTATTCACGTATTACCAATATTACCTTAATTTGACCAAGGTTCAGATTGTAACAAATCAATAATTCTTCATCGTCAAAATGTTTAAAAGATCGAAAGGAAATCATTTTCGGTAAGAACTTTTTGGTTCTTGAATCTAATTTTGCAAATTTTGTTTTACCATAATGACCACTTATAGAAAATATAATGCAACCATGTTCGACAACTTTCGAAGAATGAGTTGTAAAAGCGAGAACGATATTGTGTAGCGGAATTAGTCGTAACATGTGTAAAAGTATCAATTAACTGATCAAAATTATACGAACTCATCAAATAATCATGTATGTTTAATAAAGGGATATTTTTCAGTTAAATATAATCACAATTAAGATCTCCAAAAACGAGTATCTCATCTATTGAAGAATTAGACGAACATTATGATTTATAAGCTATTTTTAAACTTTTTGAAAAAAGAAACATCGCAGGACGGAGGTCTGTATATACTAGAAACAAAAATAAATTTCTGACGAGACAAACCTATATGAATACATTTCATTTCGAAGTTCTGATTTTCCTAATCGCATCTTCATGTAGAAAATAATGAAAATGTAATTACCTGCAAAGAAATATATGAATGTATACGAATCACACAATAAAGACCAACGCCTATAAACACATTTGACAACTCTAGAATTAATTTAACATAAAACCTAAGAAGGTGTCAAAATTTAATGAACACTTTGTGAACTTACCAAGTAGTAGCAGTTTGACTGTTCTTGAAGCCTCCAACTTTGCAGCATAAAGCATTTTCTCAATATTTTTGTGTCTCTTCCACGCGACCTGCAGATTGCACGTCTGAACCGTGTCTCTCCGATGGGTTATAGGAGATACCTTTACACTGGCGCTTGATCCCATTTCTTTCATCCGATTACTCGCCCTGTCTTCTCCTATTTCGATTGCTCCTTAATTAGCGTGCGTTCGTCAAAGGTTGACTCGTCTTGAGCGGGAATGATTGCAGGCGACTGATTCCGTGAAAAAGGAAAGACGTTCATCGGTGTGCTGGAATCGACCGCTAAATACGGAGATGATTAATTGTCGACCAGTGAACGAAGATTGTAGGCTTATCGTCATTTTCGTCTGTCCATCGTGAGTAAGGTGTCGTAGTCTAGTGGATACGTCATCGGACTGTGGATCACGTGGTTCACGATTTGAGCCTCACCGTGGTAAACTGATTTTCGGCAAGACATTAATCTATACATGTATTTGCCACTCCCAACCCAGGTGTTTAATGGAAACCCGGTAGGATACGAACGTTAAATGTTTGGCTGGATTGGCATGTGGATGTTTGCAAAACGGCGCCTGGCCGGAATACTATCCAGTTGTAGGGAGAGGGGCGCGTGCAATATCATGTGCGGATTAGCATTTGAATTCAATGACCAGGGTTATAATATAGGATTTCCCGGCCAAATTCGCGTGTTTGTCATTCGAATTCATTTACTTTGCATTTAAGTTAGCGCAGATCGGCTTTGCCAATTATCATTCAATTTTCCAGTTTTTGTATTTAATTTAGGATTTGGGTCGAAGGGTTTCATAGATCTGTCATTCAATTGAGAAACTGCTCAACTAGCATTCAAATTAATATTCACTTGTCGAAGCGTAATTTTTATCATTCAAATTAACACCTGTCATTCGTATTCGTAATATTTTTATTCAAGTTAGGAATGTTAGGGGGAAGAATTGCAACAAACTTTTACAGTTTTTAAATAATGCTCTTAAAATGCACGATTTGCCATTAGGGTCTAAGCTGTTATTCCATTTATGTATTTTTAGGACAATGCAGATGGGTGTAATCAGACATAAAGAAAAGAAGGGGCGAAATCAAGGGATATGGCATTTCTGCACGGACATGTTCATGTACCCGGGAAAGGTGGGGGTACCCTCAATCGCCCCTTTTTACTACAGACTCGGAATTTTTCAAAAGTAATTCACATCGTCTCTTATACCCAGCACACCCCTCTGTTTTTATTAAAGAGTTTCATAGTTTACTTGCCCGCCAGCAGATCGATGGCTAAAGACATGGCTAAATAATGAATCATGTTCAAATTGTTGACTCTAGTCCCTGCCCCAGTCACAATATTGTACCCTTCTTCCATAATGACATTATGATGAAATTATGATAAATTTATGATGAAACATAAGACAAACAACTTCCTTACATGAACATTTACAAATATAATGAGACCATCGGGTCCGTAGATGCAAATCGTTTTTTTCTTCTTGACAATCAAACTCAAATGCCGATGAACATCAGATAAATCTAATAAGTATAAGTGTATAAATGCAAGAAAATTAAATATGATGAAATACCATGGGTGTCGATCCCGGGGGAGGGATGGGGGATATATCCCCCCCCCCCCAATATTTCAGGTGGGGGGATGGCCTGTACAATCAACCCCCCCCCCCCCCCAATAATTCACCATAAAAAAAAATGAAGAGAAAATTAAATGATGAGAGCCCGATGAGAGTAGCTAATGGTTATTACTCGCAAGATGACCATCGATATACACATTTTGCTATCTCATTTTCATAATACATACATATATACGAAGTAAATGAGACAACTGTATATGAGACAAGAATAAATTGAATTCTCGCTCAGAAATTGATGAATTTATTCAATTTGTTCAATCAACAGCATCATAAAAATGCAGTGCGCCAAATGCAAAGACGCAGCGTCAAAAAGCAACGAGCTATTTTGTTACGTGCGAAGCGCTAAAGTAGCAATCTTCAATGCACATGAGACAATCCTGGACAGTGTAAACATAGATGAACTCTGTGACGAATTCGTGATGAGATCGGAGACAAGGAGAACGATTTTCGGACATTAGTATAACTTATAAGACAGTTCACTAGTTGTTATGTTGTTTCCGTTCACCCTTTTTAAAATTCACGTCATTGTATCTTTATTTTTATTTATTTACTCATTTTATTTCCTGATATTTCCTAAAACATTTTTCATTTTTGGAGAAAGATTATTATGTCACAACTTATTTTGTTTTCTTGAAAAGCTGATGTAGGCCTATGTCACTGTCGTACTGGTAGGGGGCGCTAGCCCAAATAAAATCCAGCCATGACTTATTTTCGATTTCATACAAGAGCATATATTTTGTATAGTCACCAATGGGCATAACTAGTGGCCGTTAACATTGACAGTAATATACAATTCCTTTCGAGAAGCTATTGCGACAAGCACTGCCGGGAGATAACATGCTACCCACCACTCGGGCTGTGCATGCAAAGATTTGCGAACGTTCCATACGTACATCATGTGGGGAAACTGAATTCAGACAAGGATTAATATAGAGAACAGTACAACGAATCGTCTTCTTTCTCTAATAATTTAGTGAAACGGCAAAGCTTCCGCGCTTTGCACGGAAGGGGGGGGGCAACTGAATTCAGACTAGGATTAAGAGTAATAATCAAATGAAACGTCAAAGTACACGATACAACGAATCGTCCTATTTTACTAATAATTTAACGAAACGTGAGAGCTTCCGCGCTACGTGTGGGATGGGCGAAAATGATTTCAGATGTGGATTAAGAGTAATAATCAAATGAAATGTCAAAGCTTCCGCGCTTCGCGCGGGAGGGGGGGGGACTGAATTCAGACAAGGACACGATACAACGAATCGTCTTCCTCCTATAATAATTTAATGAAACGGTAAAGCTTCCGCGCTTTGCGCGGGATGGGCGAAAATGAATACAGACAAGGATTAAGAGTATTGAAACGTGAAAGCTTCCGCGCTTCGCGCGGTAGGGGGGGGGGAACTGAATTTAAACAAGGACACGATACAACGAATCGTCTTCTTCAGTCTCTTACAATGTAATAAAATGTGAAAACTTCCGCGCTTCGCGCAGGAATGGGCGAAAATGAATTCAGACAATGATTAAGAGTCGAGAATGGTACATCGAATCGTCTTCTTTCTTTAATAATCTATAATGAAACGTCAGAGCTTCCGCGCTACGCGCGGAGGAAAGGGAACTTGATTCAAACAAGAATAAAGAGTTGAGAACGGCCAACGAATCATCGTCATTCTCTAATAATTAAGTGAAACGTCAAAGCTTCCGCGCTTCGCAGGGGAGGGGGGGGGGACTCCCCCTCCCTGGAACTAACCAGGCATGTCCATGGATATCTGACGAGAGTTGTTAAGCTTATGACGGAACGTGATAAAGTTCTCAAAGCTGCTAAAGCTAACAAAAGTGATGATCTTTGGGACACCTACAAATATCTAAAGAATACAGTTATTCATCTCATGAGGAAAATAAAAAGAGAATATAATGCAGACCAGATCTCGCAAAATCATAACAATAGTAAGCAAACGTAGAGATGTTTGAGAAACCTGGTGCCTAAGTCATTACCTATATCTCCCAATAGCATAAATGTTGATGGTGCTAATGTGTCAGACAATGCAAATATTGCTGAAGCTTTTAATGACTTTTTCATTTCTAATGCTACTAAGATTACAAAGGACCTGCGAAGGAATAAGTCTCAACCGAGAGTAGACGAGGACAATAATATTGGTCCAACTCATTCGCAATTTAATTTGAATTTGATTACTGAGGATTTTGTACTGAAACAGATTGATAATCTGAGTATAGATAAAGCAACTGGTGAAGATCACATCAGCTGTAAACTTTTAAAGATGACGAAGAATGTTATCGCAGAGTCTCTTTGTGATATCATTAACAAATCCCTGTCTACAGGAGTTGTTCCACGTGAATGGAAAAAGGCTCGGGTAGTACCAATATTCAAATCTGGAGATATTTCTTCTTTGAATAATTACCGCCCCATTTCAATATTACCTATCGTGAGTAAAATTATAGAAAGGGCCGTCCACCAACAACTCAGTGAATTCTTGGACGTGAATCAATTATTACACCCTAATCAGTCTGGTTTTAGACCTAAACATTTAACAGCTACTGCCCTTGCAAAACTTGTAAATCAATGGTCGTTGAATATTGATAACAAAGAAATTTCTGGAGTTGCCTTCATAGATCTTCGTAAGGCTATTGATACTGTTGACCATGAGCTACTTCTACATAAACTAGCTTGTATAGGTTGTAGTAATAGGACTATTTATTGGTTCAAATCATATTTAGGGGATCGACAACAAGTGACCCAATTCAAAGGAGCCAAGTCGCATCCATCAACCATCAAATTAGGTGTGCCACAAGGTTCAATTCTTGGTCCCCTTTTATTTTCAATATATGTTAATAGTCTACCTGAATGTACTCCTGAAGGTATCATAGATATGTATGCTGACGATACGACACTTACCGTCAGTGCAAATTAACTGTTGCGTTAAACAGAGTCATGGCATGGATTAAGGAAAATCATCTTGTTCTTAACACTGAAAAAACTTGTGTCATGTTAATAGGCTCACCTGCTAATCTCAAGAAAATTGAATCTTTCACCATTTCATTAAACGGCAATTTGATCAAAAGAGTTCAATTCACCAAATGCTTAGGACTTTTGATAGATGAAAAATTGAAATGGTCTAAACAAATCGAAAACGTAAGTAAACTTACCCAGAAAAACATTAGCATGATAAAGAGAGCAAAGAGTTTTTGGCCTCAAAAATCCTTAAAGTTACTTTATAACAGTCTAGTGTTGCCACGATTAGATTACTGCTCTGTTGTATGGTCGAACCGATTTCATTCTCATACAACTAAGCTGCAAAAAAAATAATATTGAACAAGACATATGACACACCGTCGGCTGATTTGTTCACAAGTCTTAAATGGATGACACTAGACAAGCGGTTTGAGTTAAGTCGCGTTATGATGATATATAAATGCGTTCATAACTTAGCACCTTCTTACTTTCAGGTAGGCTTAATCAATCCTAATAATGTACATGAGCATCATACAAGGCAAATAGACAGTGGATGTTTACGTGTGCCTAGATTTCACAATGATTGTTATAAGTGTAGCCCAATTGTTTCTTCCATATTTGAATGGAATAAGCTAGATAATTCATTGAGAACGGCTTCCTCTGTCAATTCATTTAAGAGATTGTTGAAACAAAGTTGTAATTTGTGAATGGCTCAGCCGTACATACACTACGTGC